ACGAAAATATGTATGGGAGCTATATGTAAATCTGAACCGATTTTTACGAATTTTTTTTCTCCAGTACGCTGTGCCGAATTTCGTGCAAATCGAATGATATATTAAGTCCCTGTGCCAAATATCGTGCACATCGAAGGATATATAGCGACTTCGGTGCACTATTTACCTAAAATCGGACGAAAATATATATGGGAGCTATATATAAATCTGAACCGATTTTTACGAAATTCAACACACATCTTACTAGACTTAATTCAGTACGCTGTGCCAAATTTCGTGCAAATCGAAGGATATATAGCGACTTCGGTGCAATATTTACCTAAAGTCGGACAAAAATATGTATGGGAGCTATATGTAAATCTGAACCGATTTTTACGAATATTTTTTTCTCCAGTACGCTGTGCCGAATTTCGTGCAAATCGAATGATATATAAAGTCCCTGTGCCAAATTTCGTGCACATCGAAGGATATATAGCGACTTCGGTGCACTATTTACCTAAAATCGGACGAAAATATATATGGGAGCTATATCTAAATCTCAACCGATTTTCACGAAATTTAACACACATCTTTCTAGACCTTTTCCAGTACGTTGTGCCAAATTTCGTTCAAATCGAAGTATATATAGCGACTTCGGTGCAGTATTTACATAAAATCGGAAGAAAATATATATGGGAGCTATATCTAAATATGAACCGATTTTTCCCAATTTCAATAGGGTTCGTCCTTGGGCCAAATAAGTGAGCTGTACCAAATTTCATCCAAATCGGATCAGAAATGTGACTTGTACTTTGTTCACAAAAATACATGGACGGACAGACGGACGGACATGCGTAGATCGACTCAGAAAGTGATTCTATGCATATTCTCAAAAGGAACCATATGTCTATCTCGTTTCCTTTTGCCTGTTACAAACATATGCACAAAGACATAATACCCTGTACCACAGTGTGGTAAAGGGTATAAAATAAAGTAATTCGGACGAAACAACAAATTGCTGATTTTTAAAGAATATTTTTGTAAAGCATCAACAAGTCGTGGATTTTTTTATAGAATATTTTTTAAAGCAACAACAGGGCGGGGATTTTTTATAGAATATTTTTTCAAAGCCTCAACTAGGCGTGGATTTTTTTAAAAAATATTTTTTTAAAGCAACAACAAATTGCGGATTTTTAAAGAATATTTTTGTAAAGCATCAACAAGTCGTTGATTTTTTTATAGAATATTTTTTTAAAGCAACAACAGGGCGGGGATTTTTTATAGAATATTTTTGTAAAGCATTAACAAGGCGTGGGGTTTAAAAAATATTTTTTCAAAGCAACAACAGGGCGGGGATTTTTTTTAAAAATATTTCTTCAAAGCAACAACAAGGCCTGGATTTTATAAAGATATTTTTTTTTTAAAGTAACAACAAGGCGTGGATTTTTTATAAAGATATTTTTTAAAGGAACATCATGTTTAGTCAAGGTGATTTTTGGTAAATATTTTTAATTGTTAGAATTAAACAAAAACACACAATGATATGGCAACACTATTAATAACATGCCGATAATAATCTTGAACAATTAATGTGACAACATTTAATGGATTTTGAAACTGTTAATTTTATTTGATGGACTTGGTTTCGTGCCATTTGTGTTGCGGTCGTATCGTTTCCGACACATTGAGGGCATTGATATTAATGAAACACACACTCACACACATACTCGTATGTATAATGACCTCAAATTTATTTTTATGTGTTAGTATGTAAAATTAATTAAATGATGTTTTACGAAGGAGATTATGTAGAGGAGGGAGAGTAGAGGAAAGGGTAATGAAATGGGGTTTTAGAAGGAACTGTAAATAAATCGTAACTGTATTAAATAACCTGGGGTAAAACAAAATTTCCAAACTTAAATGTACCAAAATCTGTTTAAAATCTTAATGTTTTGAAGTAGGAGTTATAAATCTAATGCTATCTAACCTAGGTCTTTGAAATAAATATTTTTTTAAATTTCCTCTAAATATTCGATGGTATTGGAAAACATTTCTAAAAAATCTACGTTGATTAATGTAGAGTCCCTGGAAAATATTTTCAAAAATTCCCATCCTACTTTATTGATGGTCTTTGTTTTTTTTTTTACATTCGAACTACAAGTATGCGAAAAGTACTAAATTTGGTACAATTTCTTAGCATGGAATTTGGAATGCGAATTAGGGTTGAAATGTAGGGTCTATTTAAGGATATGGTTTTGAGAGCGTGTACTCATGTGTATGAAAAGTATAGTACTTTTCATACATGTACTATATTTGGTACATATTTAATTTGGAGATTCAAATCGAGCTGCAATAAGAGATGACCTGTCAGAAACAGTGACGTAAATGACGTACATTTCCGACGTATAATACATACGTCAGAAACGTCGGAATCCTACCCAAATCCATTAGGTTTTTGACAAAATAGCTATTTCCGTTAATCAAATTGGAAATTACGCATGTTTACTCAAATCCATAAAAAATTGAAAATTTTCTTCTCAAAAAAAAAAAAAAAAAAAAGTTTTAAGAAATTTTTATCAGTTCTAGCAAGGAATAGTCAGATATATGTAAAAATAATACATATTCTTGAAAATAACTTTATATGCTGATAATATTGAAATAAATGACGTTTTCGAGGTTTACACCTTTTTGACAGTCGAAAACCTAAAAACTCGTCACACGGACCATCCTTGGCTGCAATCCAGAAATTTGAAATTAACATTACTGTCGGAGTGTAGGATTGGGATATGTACGTAGTTTTGGATTTTTTTTACATAAGTGTACGAAAAGTACTAAATCGTAGTATAGTTGGTATAATTTGGATTTGGGTGAACCAATAGAGCAAGAACAATGAAATTGAGAGCCAATATCATTGTAAGGGTGTAGGATTAGGGCCAGGATTCAGTTCAAGCAAATGATATTCATGGGTACTAAATGGTACTAAATTTGGTACAATTTTAATTTTAGGCGAACCAATAGAGCTAGAATCATGAAATTTGGGGTCAGGATCACTGTTGGGGTGTAAGATCGAGATATATAAGAAGTTTTACTAATGTGTACTAAATTTGGTACAATTTGAATATAGTTGATATAGTTGAATTCCCGAAACTTGGATTTATGATCACTGTTGGGGTGTAGGATTAGGGTATGTAGGAAGTTTTGGAAATTGGTTCTACTATGTACTAAATTTGGTACAATGTGAATTGTGGGTAAACCGATATAGTTGAATTCCTGAAACTTGGATTTAGGATCACTATGGTGGTGTAGAATTTGTGGGTAAACCGATAGAGTAGGAAGTTTTGGAAATTGGTACTACTGTGTACTAAATTTGGTACAATTTGAATTGTGGGTGAACCGATAGATTTGGAATACTGAAATTTGGATTTAGAATCATTGTGGGGGTGAAGGTTTGGTACAATTTGAATTGTGAGTGAACCGATGGAGTTGGAATCCCGAAACTTGGATTTAGGATCACTGTGGGGGTGTAGATTTGGCAATTCGTACAGGTCTGTACTAAATGTGGTACAATTTAAATTGTAGGTAAACCGATAGAGTTGGAATCCCGAAACTTGGATTTAGGATCACTGTTGGGGTAAAGGATTGGGGTATGTAGGAAGTTTTGGAAATTGGTACGAATGTGTACTAAATTTGGTACAATTTGAATTGTGGGTGGTCCGAAACTTGGATTCAGGATCACTGTGGAGGTGTAGGGTTGGGTTATGTAGGAAGTTTTGGATATTCGTACTAATGTGTACTAAATTTGGTACAATTTGAATTGTGGGTGAACCGATGGAATTGTAATCCTGAAACTTGGATTTATGATCACTGTTGGGATGTAGGTTTTGGGTTAGGTAGGAAATTTTGGAAATTCGTACTACTATGTACTAAATTTGGTACAATTTGGATTGATAGAGTTAGAATTCTGAAATTTGAATTTTAAATCATTTTGGGGGGGTGTAGGATCGGGGTATGCAGGAAGTTTTGTTGGATGGTTGAGGTGGGTACTTTTGGAAATAATGTGTGCTAAATGGAACTATATTTCTACAATTTAGATTTGAGTGAACCTTTAGAGCTCGAATCAGGAAATTTGGTACTATATGGTACTCGAATTTAATTTATGGTCGATATTAATGTGTGGATTGGTTAGTTTTGTTTTTGACATATGCAGTTTTCTGTGAAAATAAAATAATATGTTAATACATGTACAAATACATTTTCAATTCTTGATTTTTTTTAAGTCATTAATTTTCTTTAAATCCAACCATATATAGAGTCCTTAAAAGTATCCTTTCAAAATTATTTTTATAAAATGCAGAAATTAACGAATTTTTGTCGAATATTTTAACTACGTTTTACATTATCATTAGTCCCTCCCATATAATTTTCATAAAACGATTCCTCCCGATTTTATGAATTTTGAAGGTTGTAGCTGCATTTATTAGCCAAGGAGGAAAGGAATGACGCTTCGGGTTCCAAGAGTAAACAATAATTGAAAGCAAGTTTTATGGGTCCAACAAATAAAACGAATATTTTACATCGAAACCACACTATGAAAATTCATAGAAGACTGCATTAAGACATATTTAATGTTTATTAACTTTATGATTAGCTCAAACATGTAATGGATGAGAAGGTCCTCGCATATGCCCACACGACCATTGTGCATCCCTGGCATCTTTAAGGCTGGCATTTTCCTTATAACCTACATTTTTATTTTCCATTATCCCAAAACAAAACAACAACTACAATTTACCAACTTTTACGAACCACTTAATCATAAAAAGGGGAACTTTTGATGGCCACAACTTGAGGCAATAAATGTGTGGGCGATAACATTTTCATTTCCGTAATGCATTTATTTCTTTCCAAAAAAAAAAAGAAAACCGAGAATTACACAAACACCCACACACATACTCATATAACCCTAATGGAATATATTCTCCAACATAAATTAACAATAAATTCCTTGCCCAACAACTTACCTCTTCATATATGAAATGATCAATTTCCTCCAGTGGCCGTCCGTACATATTCTCCGGAAATGGTTCAAATTTCTTTGGCAGAACATCACCATCTTCGACGGTGGCTTTATTGCGCGGATGAAAGCCATATTCACGAACCAATTGGATGTGACGGGTTTCATTTTTGATTTTCGATTTTTGTGTGTAGGCAACAACCTGCTGTTTGGCAACTGTAAGAAAGAGGAGAATCGAAAAACAAAATTAAGATATGAAGATAAATAACGATGAAAATAAATGTTAATGTTGAGTAGTAATAAACATTAAATATGAAAACGACAACGGAAAAAAATGTTTCAAGGATAAAGCACAGCCACATTGCTGCTGACGAAGAAGCTATAACATCCGTTCTGTTTATGTCTTGTTTTTGCCCTCCCCCCCATTCTCCTTTATGTTCGTCTTGTGCAATATTTTTGTTGCCTCTGACACATGCCGTTGTTGCAATTTAAATGTAATTAAGATTTCTTTATTTTCTTTGTTTTTTTTTTTTTCATAAAATGATTTATTTTATGAATCCATGGAACACGTTCGCTAAGTGGGTAATCTGTGTACCTGACAAGTCGGCATGTACATACATCCATACATACACATTTATTTATATTGTGTATGAGACTTTATATTAATTATTTATGAAATTACCACTTACAGATGATGGTGGAGCTCCTGCCTCAGATTATCAAAGTTATTTTTCGTAATACAAGAAGTTAAGGGAAATGACAAGGGACTATCGATACATTTTATTTAGTCCTTGAAAAAATATTTAAAAAAAATCCACACCTGTATAAGTCCTTGAAAACAAATATTTTTAAAAAATCCATGCTTGTGTATAGTCGTAGCGAGGGCGTGGGGGATGGTAGAAACCAAGCAACGGTTCTGATTGGCTTTAACATGGCAAAGTCCTGGCTTGGTCCCTCTTTCATCTCAATTGTGGACACTGACCTTCCTGCGGTGTCACCTGGGTTAACTATTTTCATCATCCATTGAAATAGTGAGCTGAGTTCACCCATAAGAACTATAGAAAAATGGGTGGAGGCGTCGGGTTAGTTGCCCACACTCGGAAACCCCTTCTTACTGAAAATGAAAAAGACAACGAAAAAGAACACCAAAACCCCCCAATGTTGACGACCCCCGTAAACGTGTAAAGTACCACGATCTGCCAATCTGCACTTGGAATGAGCGTACGTTGTATAGAACAGGCGCAGTGTTCCCTATGGCGGATGTACTCAAGAAGTACAAAGCCGATATTATTGCCAGGAAATGCGATGGAAAGGGACAGACGTAAGTAAATCAGACGATTCCGCACTGTATTATAGCTGCCATGAAACAAGATGTGAATTTGGCTGCGAATTTATGGTTAATAGGAGAATAAAAGACCTCGTCTCCAGATTCACTTCAGTAGGTGAGGGAATTGCTATCATCCATATAAAAGCGAAGTTCTTCTACATCGGTCTTATTTGTGCCCATGCTCCGACCGAATACATAGATGAACAGTCCAAAGACATATGTTACGAGCACATAGAAACAGCATATGACCGTTGCTCTGGCCATGACATTAAAATTCTGCTAGGAGATTTTAATGCAAAATCGGAAGGGAAAATATTTTTAACTCCACCGTCGTAAAATTCAACATCAGACAACGAGGTTGTTTGACTTCACGACAGCAAAAAACATGGTAGTTAGCACCTGAATTTCTCCCGATCAAACAATGAGAAATCAAATTGATCATGTTGTGATAGACGGAAGGCACTCATCCAGTGTATTCGACGTTCGATCGATCCGATCCGAGCGAATATCGATTCGGACCACTACCATGTAGCAGTCAAGGTTCGCACTCGTCTTATATAGCAGCAAAGGTTCGATCTAACACAATACGGAAACTCGACGTCGAAAAGCTGCAAACACAACAGGTAGCAGAGGCCTACACCGTTCAACTTACCCAACTGCTTGACGAAAGCACCCCTTGTCCCGATAATAATATAGAAGACAATGGCAGAGAATTGCCCACTCCCTTCAAGCTGCAACAAAAGCAACACCTGGGTACCAAAGACCACCATCCTGACCGTGGTACGATCAGGAGTGTCGTAATGCTGCTGATATGAAAAACGCAGCGTATAGGGCGGACAATAGCAGCACTTAATGCGATGGAGAATTATCGGAAGAAAAGGAGAGAAGAGAAACGTATGTTCAGAAAAAAGAACAAGAAAAACGTGAGCGTGAGCAAATCGGGATGAACAGAAGTGAGAATGAAGTTCGAAAATTTTACTAACGTGTAAAACACCAAACTGAAGGCTTTGTAAAGATGAAGAAGGAAGCCTGGTGACAGATACAGACAGCGTGCGGAGGATTTGGAAGGAGCATAATAGATGACGGTATTGCACTTTATACCACCTAGCCAAGATGAAGTCAGAATAGCAATCAATCGGCTGAAGAATAATAAAGTAGCAGGTGCCGATGGGTTACAAGTCGAACTATTCAAGACTGGTGGTCAGATGCATGCACCATGTCATCGCCATGTCTGCGATTTGTATTCCTGCAAAATTAATACGGCTATTCAGAATAACTTCGAGTGGCATAAGGTCAGTAGTTAAAGTCGGAAAAGACCTATCGGAGCCCTTCAATACCGAATGAGGTTTCAGACAAGGTGACAGTTTGTCGTGTGATATTTTTAACATCCTGCTGGGAAAGGTCATAAGAGACGCGAATGTGAACAGAAATGGCAATCTGCACACCAAACAACACATGTTACTCGCCTACACCGATGACATTGATATAATGGGTCGAACATTGCGAGCGGTAACAGCCACCATTGAGAAGGAGTCTGCCAAAGTCGGCCTGGCAGTAAATGACGAGAAGACCAAGCTGATGGTATCAATGCGCAAAACGTCAAGTAGACTTGGACCAACTGTGGAACTTGAGAACTACAGCTTCGGGGTAGTTAAAGATTTTAAATACCTTGGTACCGCCATAAATAAAACAAATGATATCAGTTTTGAAATTCAAAGAAGGATAGTGTTGGCCAACAGGCGCTACTATGGTCTGAACAAAAAACTCAAAAGCAGGGTGCGAAGAATGATTAAAATACGCTCTTTCTCACGAATTCTCACGGGCGAGAATTCGAATATTTTCAATTTATCGCGAATGATAAATTTACAATGAATGAAAAAGCATTTGCAATCTCTCGCGAATGTTCTCATTGTACGAAAAATTCACGAACGATAGAATTTCGCTGCAAGTGTCTTCGATTCATTCTTTCGCGAGCATTTGTTTCTGAAGAACATTCTTTTGAAAAACCAAAAAAACAAATGTTCGAGAACACTGTTAAAAACAACAACAAACAAAAATATCATAAAAAAAGTAAACACCCACACAACGAATGAATGTGTGTGTAGCAGAAAGTGTATGGAATAACAAACTTTGGCGAGAATTCGGGAATGTTTGTTTTCATTCGTGAGAGAATGTCAGAAAGAATTTCAACCACCAAACGAAACGAACAAACGTTGTTGTGTGCTCTCAATCGTTTGTTATGTGTGTGTGAACATTCGTTGGCGAATGTTCGTTTGGTAAAGAATTTATCGTCATAAATTCATTCGTAAAATGAGCAAAAAACGAAAAAAAATGTATTTCGAATCATTCGCGAGCGAAATTTTTGACCCTGCTTTCGCTCGTTTCGTTTTGTGGTTGAAATTCTTTTTGATATTCTCTAACGAATGAAAACAAACTTTCCCGAATTCTCGCGAATGCTCAAAACAGCAACAACAATAACAACAAAGTTCTTGAACTCAATTGTTGTTGGACATGTGTTTTGTTATTCGACATTCATTTGGTGTGTGTGTTTACTTTTTATACCCTACACAACTCTGTTGTCTGGGTATTATAGCTTTGTGCAGCCCCAAAAGTTTGTAACGCAGCGAAATATTGGTCCTAGACCCACCATTAAGTATACCGATCGTCATATCTCGACTAGCTGAGTCGATCTAGACATGTGTGTCCGTCCGTCCGTCTGTCCATTATAATTTGTAAACACGATACAGGCCACAGTTATGGACCAATCTTCACGAAATTTTGCATGTAGGATGGGTTCTGGCCAATGAAGACCCCTATTGTTTTTGGAAAAGATCGGTTAATATTTAGGGGATCGCTCCTAAGGCCGCAATTATGACCCAAACACCGCGAAATTTTGCACGGAGAAGGGGATCGAACCAAAGAATAAGTATGCTTGTTTTGATAAATATCGGTCAATATTTAGCGGGTAAACTGGACACTGACTTTTGTGTGAAAGATTACAAAAATTGTATTCTATGGGGTATATATTTGCACCTGAAGGTCCTAGACCCGAGAAGTTGATAGTATGTTCAAGAGGAGTGGTTGACCTTTAAATTGATACCACTTATATTGTCGTATGTTCTCGGATGCGGGACTTACACATAAATATTTACAGGTGCTTACGTATTCATATATTATTTAGTAACCCAATACCACACTAGAGGGCGGAATTATAGCGCTGATCGCTTTGAAATTTTGCATGAGGTTCAAGTTATGGTCACCGACAACGCCTAAAATTTTTGGTGATGATCAGATAATAATTTTGGGATGAAATGGACCGAAAACTTATTTTTTGGTTTTTTTCGAGTCGATCTATAGGCCAAAATTGAAAGCCGAACATCACAACACAACCCACGGTGAAGGGAATCTGAACAAGTGATTAAAAGGGCTGTACTGAATATTGGTAACATTTTTTGACCTCTAGTCGGTCAAGAGGGTGCAAATATCGCGAGATATTGCCCAAGCTCGGAATATAGAACCACAGAAAGTTATAGTTTCGTGGAAGTTGTGTAGGGTATCATATGGTCGGCTCCGTCCGACTATACTGTTCCGCTCACTGGTTTTATGATATTTTTGTTTGTGGTTGTTTTTAGCAGTGTTCGCGAGCATTCGCGAACATTTGTTCGGCAGCTCTTGGAGTGTTTGAGAGAAAAAATTCTCCGAAAGATCTATGGGCCGATCTGTGTTGACGGTGAATATCTAATGAACCACAAGCTTTACTATCTATGCGCGGACATCGATATAGTTAGTCGTATTGAGCTGCAGCGACTACGGTGGCTGGTCATGTTGCGCGAATGAATGAGACCGATGCGCTTGAAAATCTCTTTAAGCTCGGCTTATAGAACAACAATAAAGTCACTGAATAAATGATTTTAAAAATCTGCTCCTTGAAAAAAAAAAATAAATATCGACGCGTGTAAAAATGGTCATTTGAAATAAAAATGTAAAAAAAAAATCACGCACAATTGTTGCTTTGAAAAAAGTTTTTAAAAAAATGTGCAATCTATTGGCCTTTAAAAATTCAGAATAAGTTCTTTAAAATTAAATCCATGTAATGATCAAAATGTCACTCTGTTTCTTTTATCTTGTATATTGACTTTATTTACATAAACATTATTTTAAAATAATAATAGCCTGTCAATGTCATCAATACCCCATAATATTTTATTTTCGTCCTTTATTCAAATCAGATTAAATCACCTCATACAATTACCTTTTCAAATTGTAAGAATATAACATGCAATTTAATACACACATTCACACATACAGAGACAAAGACAATCAATGTTATCAATTTTGAAATTTATTTTTATTATTTTTATTCAATGTCCCTTGCAAAACATAAAATAAATCCCTCTCTCTCTCTCTCTCTCTGTCGTATTCACATATAATTTTCATAATTTGCCATTTCTCTAACAGCAGTGTCGGAACGACCATCCGTCGAAGATAGAAGAACAAGCAAAGGCAAAAATTACCATTTATATGTAGCGTATCCTTATAATAATCTCAAATTTGAATACAGACAAACATATAACTAAATATGGGTCTCTCTGTGTGTGTGTGTGCGGATATGTGTATGTCATTCTCCCTATCTGGGTGTTGTTGCCATATCATCTGGGTCGGGGTAAAGAGTGTGAACTAATAATAACGGAACTGTGAAATAAGGAAATATGTTTCACATTATATTATATACAGATATCCTATTATTTTAGCTTTTTTCTACCTCAATCCCCTCCAACTTTCTTCCATGTCCTTCTCTGCTCAGGCATTGCAATTTAACTCAATTGAAAATAGAAACCAACATTTGTGGTTTCAATGCTGGTGAACGAGAGAGAGCTTGAGAGAGGGGTGGGAAAATAGAGTGGCAAGAAAGAAATCATTTCAAATAGAATTGAAAGTCAATCTAATGATATAAAATTTATATTGTAGGTTAATGGCAATATCTATATGTGTATGTGTGTGTGTTGTATGCTTATTTGCATTATAGAGTGTATTTGTGTGTGAGTCTTATATAAACTAAATTTATTAAATAAACCAAGTTCAGAAAATGAATGTATGCATAAATATTAGTTGAATTTATAGTTCATTCTATGATACAGGGTGTATATTCTCGATGCCGTATAAAGAACATAGCATGGATTATATATAAGTCTGTATTTATTAAATTTAGATAAAATAAATGAAATTTTACTAGAAATGAGACATATTTAAAAATGAAAAGTGGACTTGTTGAACCCATTTTAATACCAAAACGTAAATAATGTACACTAATGTTGTTAATGTTGTATGGTAAATTTTATTTTGTTATATAACAATAGTAACAGAGAGTTCGATGAATATTTTTGATACAATTTTGATCCATTGGCTTCAGAATATAGACGATCAGCTCTTTATTCGACGAGCTGGAAACGGTCGCTGGAACCTGGTACGCATCATCTTCGAACTTGATTTAAGTTTGAAAGAAATATAGCGATATGCAAAGTTCGGGTGAAATTGGTTTCTCTCTTCCAGAGTAATTGTGCCCAACAGCCAGATAGTGATTTGTAAATCGGCCCAGAATTGTCTGAAACGGATTTGGTCTAATGAAACTTGGGTTCAAAACAAATATTTCAATGAGGAACATTTTTATCTTGGCAAAGTGTATACAGTGGCTCCATCGCATAATCGGACAAAAGTATTTCTAATATAAATGTATTCTGAACTTAAATAAAAGTGTTAAACATATATTTTTTTGCATTTATTTCGACTTCACATACATAGCTCTCCGAACAGAAAAAAACAACATTTCTAACGATAACTGTAAATATCAGTAGAAAAACAAAAATAACTCAATTTCTTGCGCTCATCGCATAATCGTACAAAGCATTATATCAATGCTATAAGTCCCGTTATTATGAAAATATGCACTTCAAATATGTATTTTGTTTATAATTTTTATAAGCCTTAAAAGTAAAAACAGTAGAATAAAATATGCCGAGGAGTATTTAATAAAACCAGAAGATTTTTGGAAGCAGGTAATTTGATGATAGATCATCTTAAAATACATTTCTATTGATAGTTTTCATTATATTAAGGTTCTGTTTACTGACGAAAGCGAATTTAATTTGCACGGATCAGATGGAAAGATGTATGTGTGGCGTAAGCCAAATGCTGAATTTAATCATAAGAATACAAAAGCCACTGTTAAGAACGGAGGAGGTTCTGTTATGGGTTGGGGTTGCAGGTCGAGTGCGGGAGAAATGGAAAAATTTGTCTACCTCAACATTTTAAAACAAAATGTAAAGCAAAGTGCAGACAAATTGGGTATCGCGAACAACTTTGCCTTTTATCAAGACAACGATCCCAAGCACACATCAGGTGTCGCAAAGCTTTGGTTGATCCATAACTGCCCCAAACTTATACAAACACCTGCACAGAGCCCAGACCTTAACGTAATTGAGCATCTTTGGGAAGAATTATATTATTTTCTCGATTTTTTGTATTTTTGCACATTGATACTTTGCTTTGTCCGATTTTGCGTTGAACACAATAAATTGAGTTAATTTTGTTTTTCTGACGAAATTTACTGTTATCACTAGGAAAGTTGTTGTTTTTTGTATTGTTCAGAAATATAAGTAAGTAATGTGTAAATAAAAGCGAAAAAAACTACACATTTACACAATTTTTTTGAAATGTATAGCATTATTATATCTGACAACCACTTGTCCGATTATTCGATGGAGCCACTGTATATACCCTCATTATACATATGGTTGCGGATATATAAAACACCAGTGAGGCCAGTTCAAAAGTAGGACGGGGCCTTGTTCGTGTACCATTTCTATGAAATCGAGCAAAATTATGTATGGGAGCTATATGTATATCTGGACGTAATTGAGCAACCGTTACATACATCATTTGGTATGCTGCAGTACAGTTCGCTGTCAACAATTTTATCTCGCTTTACTATCTGGTACACAAATTGCATGACCTCAGAAAAATTAAATATATAGGGGTTATATCTACATCTGAATATATTTTACAAAATCCAATATGCGTTGGTACGTTGTGCACTAATTCATCGCAATCGGAAAAACTTTAATTAGTTGGTACACCACTTAGATGTAATCGGATGGAGAAATATATGAAAGCTATATCTAAACCTAAACCATTTAAAAAAATCGATTTCAATCCAATTCCCTCGGCAATATTTCATGTAAAGCGAACGAACATAGGCTACTCGGTGCACCATTTGCATGAAATCGGACGAAAATATATAAGGGAACTGTATTTAATTCTGAACAGATATTCTTGAAAATTAACATACATCATTCTAGACTTAATTCAGTACGATACTGATGGAGATAGACCCATGGTTCCTTTTGAGAATATACATAGAATCACTTTCTGAGTCGATTTATGCATGTCCGTCCGTCCGTCTGTCCATGTTAAATTGTAAACAAAGTGCAGGTCGCATTTATGATCCGATTTGGATCAAATTTGGCACAGCTCATTTGTTTGGCCCAAGGACGAACCCTATTGGAATTGGGAAAAATCGGTTCAGATAGCTCCCATATATATTTTCGTCCGATTTAAGGAAAATGGCGAACAAAAGTCCCTATATATCTTTCGATTTGCACGAAAATTAGCACAGCGTAATGAATAAGGTCTAGAATGATGTGTGCAAAATTTCGTGAAAATCGGTTGATATTTAGATATAGCTCCCATATATAGCTTCGCCCGATTTTAGGTAAATAGTCCAATAAAGTCCCTGGAAATCTTTTGATTTGCACGAAATTTGGCACATTTAAATATAGCTCCCATATATATTTTCGTCCGATCTAATGTAAATGGTCCATCAAAGTCCCTATATATCTTCCGATTTGCACGAAATTTGGCACAGCGTATTGGATTAGGTCTAGAATGATGTGTGTTAAGTTTCCTGAAATCGGTTCAGATTTAGATATAGCTTTTATATCTGACCAAATGAAAAATTTAGTATCGGTTGCAGAATGACACGTCTATGAATCCAATTTCATTTTACTGGTCCTTTAAAAATGCGACGTCTGTTAGGATTCATCTGTTGAATATACCCAAAGTGGTGAAGGGTATCATATAGTCGGCCCCGTCCGACTTTTCTACTTTCCTTACTGGTTAATTATGGGTTGCACGATATATTAAGTGTATTTTCCATTGTACATTTCCTAATTTTCAGTGGTGTTTCTGACGTTACTGTTTTCTTAGAAATGTTCTCTCCCTCTCTGAGTTTGTTTATCATTGTTTGTTAGTAGCCTACCATTACGATCTTTAATTGCTTGTACTGGTATCCTGGTACACTTTCTATTTGTGAGGCTATCTATTGTTTGTTGTACCTTTCTCATGTTATTCTGGCTAGCTGCTTCCTCGGCTGTTTTTGGGGCTGCCATCTATCGTTGCCTAAGCCCAACAACTCCTTAAATCTTGGGCAGTGGTTGAGGTCTTTCCTTTTTTAGTGTTAACATTTTTCCACTGGGGGCGTTTTATCCTGATATTCTTATTTCGGCAATTCGCATGTGTTGATATTGATACCGAGTTTGCTGATCTGACCTTAAGGGTTCTTTATTGATCTGACAGTTTATAAGCCCATTATAATTGCCACAATTCAACTATACACGACCTTAGTAAAATATTCGTACTTCCTTCCTAATTTTATCTATATATCCCAATAAAAAGAAATATTGTCCCGAATTCTCTATCAATGTAAATGCCATTAAATTTAGTTTTTCCTGCCATTGTTGTTAATAAAACATCCATTAAATTAGTCTGATGTCATTGTCACACAAAAATAAATCCCCGCTGTTAATGGGATTGTTATAAACTTAAATTACATTTAGTTAGAAACATGGGTAATTTGTAAACCCCATCCCAAAAAAAAAAAAATCCAAATGTGTAATAAACATTTAATTGATAGTAAATTTTGTTCTGTTTTTTGGGGTATATACAGACTAACACAACGACATTGCCATAAAATTAAGATGGCATAAACAAATCAGAAAATCAATTAACAAAATGTTGTCTACAAATTATAATGAACGACAACAACAACAACGAACACCATATATAATTACTTAATGTTTTATATGAGACTAAATTATAACCCATCCCTCTCTCTCTCTTTACAGATAACTACGTGGTAGTAACATTTTTTCCATCCATCCCCAACGAATCTCAGGGTAATAGAAGAAGCAGAAAGGAAAAAGAAGGCTGGCTGTGTGGTGGTCGGTCACACATACACATTCACTCAAGGCATACTAAAAACCAGGGCGTTGACTTGTCTACACCATCAATAACGACCGAGGAAAATCCGATATTCCAACATGTCCACAACACCAAAAGAAAATCATCATCAGCCTCACCATGCCACAGTTCAAAGTCATACGATTTTGACCCAACTGAAACAGGCTTCGGCGGGAGCAGCCTCAGGATTTTTTACACGAACCATTACCCAACCATTTGATGTCCTCAAGATACGATTCCAATTACAACTGGAACCCGTGAGTGAGGATCATCCCTCCAAATATCGTTCATTGGTACAGGCCAGTAAGCTAATCTACAAAGAAGAAGGTCTCTTGGCCTTTTGGAAGGGTCACAATGCCGGCCAAATGCTCACCATGCTCTATACGATATTCCAATTCTGGTCCTATGAACAAATCGATTTGAAGTTACGTCAATACGAATATTTGGATCAGAATAAAAATACAAGGCATTTTATTAGTGGTGGTGTGGCTGGGTGCGTGGGAACCACAATCTCAATGCCATTTGATGTGGTCCGCACCCGGGTGGTGGGTCAAGATCCAAATCGCAAAAGCAGTGTGATACACATTATTCCAAATATTATCAAAACTGAGGGGTTCTATGGTCTGTTTCGTGGTCTCGGTACGACACTGATACAAATTGGCCCTCTGATTGGCTTCAATTTTGCCTTCTATCACAAGACCAATGATCTGTTTATGAGCATGGCTGAACCACCCAATCATCATTTGCCGGTGGTGGTGCATTTGTTTACTGGCGGTGTGGCCGGTGTGGTCTCCAAGGCCATTGTCTACCCCCTGGACTTCATTAAGAAACGTCTACAGCTGCAAGGTTTCCAAAATGCCCGTCGTACCTTTGGCCGCAATCAAGTGTGTTTCGGTATTGGTGAATGTATACGGCTGACCTATCGAGAAGAAGGTATCCTGGGCTTTTACAAAGGCATGAATCCCACACTCATTAAATCCGGACTCACAACAGCGCTCTATTTTAGTTTATATGATATTTTCAAAGCCACCTTTGTACCCGAATTGGAATCTGACGACTCATAGATATACTCTCCTAACTGTTAAACTGACTTTATACGTTTACGTAATTAAGTTAAATTATTAATTAAATCTATACTTCTTACAACAACAAATAATATATGACGAAAAGATGATATTGAAAAAAATATTTAAAAACAAAAACACAGAAACTAGAAAAGAAAAACTATGCTACTCAGATGCTTGAAATGTAACTTTAAGACAAATATATAAATAAAAAAATAAAAACAGGAAAAATTACTCTATATTTTAAGAATTAAGGTTTTAAGAATTAAGGTTATAAGAATATAGGGGTATCTGGGGCTGACTTATTGTTCTATGAAAATGTGATAAATGCAACTTTTTATAAATCTAATTAAAAAAATAAGTTATAGTTGACTTTTGGATTTTTTGTAATTCCTTTCTTCAACATGGGATCCTTGCAAATTGTTTTTATATTAAATCTCTCATTCCTCCCTTTGCAAAACCTCGAAATATTTACCAGAGACCCCTGAATACGTGAGCTGTTCGGAAACTTCTTAGCCGGTCAATGAAAGAGAATATTTAGTTTATCAAAAATATTTTTATTTTTCAATATAACCTCCTGAAACTTCAATACACTTAGTCCAACGCTTTTCTAGCAATTTTATCCGTTGAATAAAATAGTTTTCCTCAAGGTCTTCGAAATAATGGTTTATAACTGTAATTACATCTTTATTTGAGGTAAAACGCTTGCCAGCAAGGATTTTTATACCCTCCACCATAGTATGGAGGGTATATTAATTTTGTCATTCCGTTTGTAACACATCGAAATATTCATTTCCGACCCTATAAAGTATATATATTTTTGATCAGGGTAATATTCTAAGACGATCTAGCCATGTCCGTCCGTCTGTTGTAATCACGCTATCTTCTGAAGGAATTGAGATAGGGTGCTGAAATTTTGCATAGGGTTGTCTTTTGTCTGCAGGCAGGTCAAGTTCGAAGATGGGATATATCGGTCCACGTTTAGGCATAGCTCCCATATAAGGGTATCCGCCAAATTTCAGTAGTTTGGGTATCTTGAGCGCGTTTTTCAGCCGAATTCGCTGAAATTTGGTATATTGGGTTCTTATTGGGTACTAAGTGTCTCCACAAAAAATTATAAGTATGGGTCCACTTTTTCTGGTAGCCCCCATATAACGGTACCTCCTAATTTTCAGTATTTTGGGGGTTTTGGTCGTATATTTCCACCAAATTGGCTGTAATTTAGTATTTTGAGTTCTTAATTGGTACTAAATCTCTCCACAAAAAATTATGAATATAGGTCAATTTTTTCTGGTACCCCCCATATAACGGTACCCCTCAATTTTCAGTATTTTGGGGTTCTTGAACGCGTTTTTCAGCCGATTTCGCTGAAATTTGGTAGATTGGGTTCTTATTGGGTACTAAATATCTCCACAAAAATTTATAAGTATAGGCCCACTTTTTCTGGTAGCCCCCATATATCTCCACAAAAAATTATGAATATAGGTCCATTTTTTCGGATAGCCCCCATATAAGGGTACCCCAAGTTTTCGGTATTTTGGGGTTCTTGAGCGCGTTTTTCAACCGAATTCGCTGCAAGTTGGTATTTTGTAGTCGTATATGGTAACAAATCTCCCTACTAAAAATTATTTATATTCGCACCCTTTTTGCCCATATAACCGCCTTTTTATTATTTAAAATAGTTATCTGATTTGTTCTGCGTTTTGAGTTTGGTTCTAAGACTCTGTTGTAATCATTTCACCTGCGGAGGATAGAACGTAAAGTTAGATAATGTACTATATATGAACTATAGCCCGGATTTAGGCCTAGCCCCTGTGTGGGACGTACCAGAAGGAGTGGACCGATATTTCCCATCTTCGAACTTGAACAAAGTTTGGAATAAATAATAAGATAGGCAAAGTTTGGATGAAATCAAAATTTTCTGAAATGGATTTGGTCCAAAAAAACGTGGGGTCTGGAACCAATATTTCGATGAGGCACATTTTCATCGTGTTAAAGTGTATACACCCTCATTAGCCATAAGGCTGAGGGTATAATAATCCTTTAAAAATTTCTAAAATTTTTATTATGGTTTACATAATCCGTTTTTAGAAATGTCGGTATAGGTCCAATTTTTGGTATGTTCCCTATATTTTCATTTATAGTACCTGTCAATATAATTATAGTGGAGGGTATCCAAAGTTCGGCCCGGCCGAACTTACCGCTTTTTCACTTATTTTTATATTAAATTTCTCATTCCCTTTGCAAAACCTCGAAATATGTACCAGAGAGGATTTCAGCCATTGTTCAAACAATCTTGTGCGCTGGTGCGTTATCTTGATGAAATTTGTTTCTATGTTTTACGAGTAAACCAGGACGTTTTTCTCGAATGTGTACATTTAATTGATCCAAAAGGTTGCAATAGTACTCTGAATTTATTTGAAGTCCTTTTGAAAACTGTTGCCTTACCAGTCGATTGAATTGTTTTTGCCTTCTTTGCGGCACTTCCTCCAGCTTCAGTCCATTGTTTGGATTGTTCCACACGATGCGTCTTTTTTGAACACATGTTTCTATATGAAGGAATTGCCAGATCGAAACAAAATTCAACATGTGTTCAACAGAGATGGAGATGGAAGTTTCCAAAACACTTAACTTTTTTTCTGTTTATACCGCGCTTTTAGTGCTAGGCTAAAAAGATTCCGAACAGCCTTCGTATACAAAAAATGATCGCTTTGGTCTGATCAAAAAATTAACACGTTATTTATTCATCAATAACTATCATGTCCCCTTGAGAATTACTTTTCCCAAACATCGTTTTTTTCCAATCCTCGAAATAACCAACAATTTTCAATTTTTCTTTTTATCTCCTCAATTTTAGTCATCTGTTTTGGAAAGAGGTAAAAATCAGTGGGTTTAGTCCCCGGTGAATACGGTGATGGACACTAGAGTTGGTCCATCGAGTTTCAGCTGATTGCTCTTTTTAGTTCGTCTCTTTTAAGTAAACTAAATCGGTCTTGTAGTTTAAACGTTCACAATAAAGTTATTTTATTCTGCTGTTGCTTTAGATCGGTCGTTCTTTCAATAGTTTTGGAAGAGGAAAACGCCAT